TCCTATTTAGGCACGTTTTTGAGGCCTGGCACATGCACAGAAGGTGCACGCACCAGCGAAGTGCATGTGTGAAAGGCTGGGCGCATGCATGGACAGCCAGGCGCATCCAGGGATGCGTGTGTGCTCAGATTTGCGAACCGGTAGAGAAAGTAAGTAAATCCCACCCCTGAATATGGTCTAGGAAATCTATCCTGCCTCTTCCCCAGATGTGACCCTACTGCAATTTCCTTGCTTAACATGATCCAAAAATATATGCGGACCAGTGGTGAGTTTAAAAAAAAATTGCTATTGGTTCTGTGGGTGTGGCATGGCTTGGTAGGCGTGGCTTGGTGGGCGTGGCAGGGGAAGAATACTGTAAAATCACCATTCCCATCCCACTCCAGGGAAAGGTTACTGCAAAATCTCCATATCCTCCTGATCAGCGGGGACTCGGGACACAGAGAATAGATGAGGGCAGGGCCAGTCAGAACTTTTACTACCGGTTCTCTGAACTACTCAAAATTTCCGCTACCGGTTCTCCAGAACTGGTCAGAACCTGCTGAAACCCACCTCTGGTGCGGACTCACAATTTACCAATATCTGGAGAGCCACATGTTGTTCTGCCCCGTCTTCGGTAGAGTTTATTTGAAGATCCATCACACAACACCATGAGTTTTTGACTGTGCTCCATGGCAGCATTTTTTTTAAAAAAGGTATATCTCTCACGAAGAAGCAAAATTGTGAGAGTTATTGACACCCACAAGCTATCCACCAACTCTACTAAGTGGACCTTATCCAGTGGTGGGTTTCACATTATGTTACTACCGGTTCGCCGTGCACGCCTGCCTTCTGCAAATGCACCCAGCATTCCGCACATGCTCCCAGCCTCAAAAATGTGCCTAAATAAGATGGCATAGAGTCGGGGGGAGGGGGGGTGGGCAGGCCCACCTGCAATTTCTGCTATTGGTTCGGGCAAACCAGTCCAAACCGGCTGAAACCACCTCTGACCTTACCAACATTATCAACATTGCCAAAAAGGCATTAAGAGTTGTTAACCTAATCTTGCGTAGCTTCTTCTCTGGTATTGTTGTACTACTAACTAGAGCATACAAAACATTTGCTAGACCAGTTCTTGAATACAGCTCATCTGTCTGGAACCCGCACTGCATATCGGACATAAATACAATCGAGAGAGTCCAGAGATATTTTACGAGAAGAGTCCTCCATTCCTCTAACCGCAATAAAATACCTTATGCCACCAGACTTCAAATTTTGGGCTTAGACAACTTAGAACTACACTGACTTCCGTCTGACCTAAGCATAGTACATACAATTATCTGCCACAATGTCCTTCCTGTCAATGACTACTTCAGCTTCAACCACAACAATACACGAGCAAATAATAGATACAAACTCAAGGTAAACCGTTCCAAACTCGATTGCAGAAAATACGACTTTAGTAACAGAGTGGTCAATGCCTGGAATGCACTACCAGACTCTGTAGTTTCTTCCCCAAAGCCCCAAAACTTTAACCTTAAACTGTCTACTGTTGACCTCACCCCATTCCTAAGAGGTCTGTAAGGGGCGTGCATAAGAGCACCAGCGTGCCTACCATCCCTGTCCTAATATTCCTTTTTACTGACTCTTTTCATGTATTCAAATTATGTTTATACTTTTACCTGTTATCTTATATATGCTTGACAAATAAACTTATGATTATGATTATGATTAACTTATCCTACAGTAAGTAGAGTGAAGGAGAATCACCTTCTGAATTCAACTCAAAAAATAACTGAAATAAGAAAGTTAAATTTAGGAAGATCATAATCTGCAGTCAGTTTGGGATGGATAGCCCTTCTAAGGAGATTGGAGATAAAGAAGCTGCCTCCAAATGTTGTCCTTGCATTGACACTCACAAATGCAAACTGTGTGGGGAAACCATAACTCAATATGGAATTCAACCGGGGGGGGGGGGGTTCTACTTACCTTTACTACCGGTTTGCAACGGGATCATGCGCTTGCTTCTGTGCACGCGCAGATTGCCGATGACGACATCCGGGGTGGTGGGCGGGACTTCCTGCCAGTTTTACTACCAGTTCTTTTTTTTTATTATTATTGAAAAGTTTTACAAAAAAACAAGAATTTTCTTCCCCACCCCATGTTCCCCCCACCCTTTCCCTCTCCTCATCCCACCCTCCCCACCAGACTTCCCAGAGCAAAATACAAGGTGTTTCATTTAACAATCATAAACTAGATTAACCTATTTATCCTCAGACTAACTAACTCCCCCCCTGAAACCTCAACTCCACTAAAAACCTAGGTAGTACATTCATTTTTATTGCTGCTATCCTCCCCAGTAATGATAGTTGTAACTTTTTTCCAATTTTCCATTTCTTTCTGTACTTTTTGCCAAAGAATTTCATAATTATTTTTAAACAATTTCGTGTTTGAGGCTGCAATATATACTCCTAGATACTTAACCTATTTAACTATTTCAAACCCCGTTATTCTCCCTAAGTCTTCTCTTTGAGTTATGGACATATTTTTAGTTATCATCTTTGTCTTATGTAGATTTACTTTAAATCCAGATACTTTGCCATATTGAGCTACTATGTCCAACATATAGGGAGCCGCTTCTATAGGTTGAGATAAAGTAAGAACCAGGTCATCTGCAAACGCTCTTAATCTATAATCCTGCTGTCTAATTACAATTCCTTTTATTTTATCAGAGTCATGTAACTTATTCAACAAGACTTCTAAAGTTAAAATAAACAACAATGGCAACAAGGGACAACCCTGCCTAGTACCTTTCTCAATTTTAAACACATCTGTTAAACCTCCATTAACTATTATTTGTGCTGTTTGTTCCTGATATATTGCTCTAATTGAATGTATAAAATACTCCCCAAAGTGCATTTTTTCTTATTATCTTAAACAGAAATTGCCAGAAATTGCAAACCGGTCCGAACCAGGGGCAACCCACCACTGAATTCAATGCACCCCAAAATAAACCCATGAACCTCGTCCTTATTTCGAAAGCGTTACGATGGTTTCCAATCAAACACACTGAGTAAACGTTAGCCGTTTCAAACATCGGAGCACCAATCTGCAATTTTCACCCTTCTCTATCTGGTCTTTTTAAAATTCACTTTAGAGCTGAAACTAACTTTGTAGCAGAGAAGGAAAACTAGGAAGGACTGTGGCATTTTGTAACTGACACCCATAAAGCTGAATTCACTGCTGCCATTCTCAGTGAGCTGAGCAACAGATTGAGGACAACAGAGTGAAAAGAATCAGTAAAGATATTTTTTAAATATCTTCAAAATAACGAAAGAATGCACATCCTTGGTTATGAAAGACCTTATGAGGAAGTTCAGGTATAGTACAGTTCTACAAGGAGAGGGGGAAAAACAACTCAGAACTGAAGAGAAAAATTATGGGATGGGAAAAATTAAGGCAGTATTAAGTGTCCCAAACGTCTTTTTTGGTATAACCTCTGTGTTTTATTTATTTAATTCCACTTTGGCATCGCCTGACTCCAAGCCAAATCTGGACGATTCATCATCTGATAAACCAGAAACACACAATAGAAAACTTTCTTTTTCATTTACTCAAGTAAGAGGTTTAATTCAGAGTACCTGAGCTTTTAAAAGCACCAAGAAATAAAGAATAAAACGAGAAAGCTGGGAGAAGTTAAAAACTGCACATACGGTATCAGCAATGTTCAAGGGATGTACAACAATATTTGGAGGTGGTTGGTGAAACGGTTTACCCAAGTTGTAAATAGTGAGTAATGCCATTGAAGACTCAACCTGTCTCCCATTCCTACACCAGCAACAACTGGAAAACTGAGTATCAAAACTTGCACAATAGTAAGGAAGACCCCCAATTTACAATAAATTCCTTTTATCGTATTCTCTTCCTTTTATCATATTCCTTTTTTTCAATTCTCTGCTGGTAGCTATTTCTGTGAAATGGGTCTAAAGTTCCAGCATTAGGCATAAGAGTGGCTCTCTTCACACAAACACTATTCACCAAGCCATTTGTGAACTGAGAATCTGTATTATTCACGTAAGCAAGTTTTTTGTTTTTTGTTTTAATTGGCTTTCAACAACCAGGTTAAACTCATTGCGCAAACAAAGCCAGTATGTCTTATTCATACAACATAAAATCGATCATCGTGGTTTGTGAACCAGAGTGAGTTTGTTATTCTAACGAACTACTGTTTGTTGGGTAAGAAGATTCTGTAACTACTGGATTGATTAACTGGAAAAGACTTGGAATTTGTTTAAAGACTATGAGACTGTTTTTCTACTATAAAGTAAGCTTTTGATAAACCAGTTTGCATAACTCTTATTCATTGCTCTCAGCAACGTTTCCTTGTGCATTTACTCTGCTGGTTGGTAACACAACAACAATATCCTTAACATTAGGTAGCTTTGTAAATGACATTTTTATCTTCCTTTTTTTTTTTATCATTCTACTTGTGTCGAACTTATTTCTTTTTCCTGGAACACACTAAAAATTCTAGACTATGATCCAGTTGTGAAGAATGGTGCCGATTTGCTCCCAATCTTCTCTCCTGCCTTTTCTAAGCTACCCGGAATTATTCCAAACGCTAAAACAAGAACGGCCCAAATCCAAACAGCCATCAACACACTTGAGTGAAGAACTCAACAACCAAAAGTTGTCATCTGAAACTTTTTTTGGTTCAAGTCAAGAGAAATGCATTGTCCATCTCCGCAACAGCTATTCATCTCACTGCTCACAAACGCCTTCAAGTTTTCAAAAGGAAAAACCAACACAATTTTCCACAACTTTTTCCACAAAAATCATCACCACAACTTCCTTCAGCTTCCTTCCTGGGCCTGCACGACCACAAAACACAAGGAAGAAAGGACATTCAAAAGAGAAAGAAAAAGTACGGCATCGCTCGGTAGATGCCGTACTTGGACCAAACATGGTCCCATTGATGTTCTCCAACCTCAAGGAAGCATCTTAAAAGAATGATTTGGACTCACCCCTGGTAGAGTCTTCTGTTCGTGCAATGCACTCTGGGCTTTAAGAGCAGATTCCCGTTCACAGTACGTTAGGAAGGCACAACCTGTAAAAAGCAGAAGAAGAAGAGAAAAAAAATAAACCATGAGAACAGGCTAGCTCTTTCCCCAGATACAATTTCTGGTAGGACCAGATCTTCTCCGGGAGCAGATGTGTCCACTTCTAAACATAGAAGGCTAGTTGAACAATTATGCCTACAAGCTTAATCCAACCCTCTGTCAACTCTGAAGCAAACCTGGCTGAAGCCATATTGTGCAGCCTCATAGTTGCCACAAACTCTGAGAAGGGGAAGGGAGAGCGGGAAATAGATAGGCTGGCTAAATAGTCGAAACAAAAAGTTTTCTTGTGGGAACCAAGGTCATCCCAACAGGTGGCAGTTGAAGGAGAAGAGCAGTGACCAAGCAGTCTGCCAGCTACTTTCATTGGACAATGTGACCAGTGACATCTGGGGAGGGAAATATTTGCTCTTTTAATTAGGGGAAAAACTGCAGGAACTTTTAGAGTTAGTTTTCACTAGCTGTGTCGATATGATGTATCCAATAAATATGTCGTTTGAGGAATCTACCTCCCTCGGAGTTCTGCTTTTAGCGGATGTATTACTTGGACCTTCTTTAAAGTCACTTTAAAAAAAAAAACAGTTTGTTTATACATTTTCAGTTTACATACATAAATGCTTTGTAAACAGCATATTGTCTGGATCTATTTGCTTACATAGTAATACTTTCCCAGCTCCTAATTTCTCTCTCTATTATCCAACCATTTTCGAAAATACTCTGTATCTTCTTTTTCTTTTATCTTTAACGTCAATCTGTCCATTTCTGCACAATCTAGTATTTTTTTTAAAATACATCTTCTTCTGTAGGTGTTTTCTCATTTTTCCAGTACTGTGCAAATATAATTCTTGCTGCTATCAAGATATGTAATATTAAATATATATTCCCTTTATCATACTTTTCTGGTACTATGCCATACAGAAATATTTCTGGCTTATAAGATGTATGTAACATTAACATCTTTTCTAACCATGTATGCATTTTTGTCCAATATTTCTTTGCTTTTGCACATCTCCACCACGTGTGATAATATGTACCCGGTTCTGATTACATTTCCAACATCTGGCCGACCTGTTTTTAAACAACTTTGCTAATCTCGCCGGTGGTAAGTGCCACCTATAAAACATTTTATATAGGTTTTCCTTGTAAATAGTTGCCATTGTCAGCTTATAGTTGCTTTCCCAAAGTTTTTGTCATTTGTCTAAGTCTATTGTAAGAAATTAGCACCCACCCCTCTCCTAGAAGAATGAAATATTCTAGGAAATATTAAAAAGGCAGAATGTTATATCTCCCTGGATGAGAAAAGGAGAAACATGCTCTTGGAAAGCAGCCCCCACTTTTGTTAATAGCCCCAGAAAGACTGATGCCAACCTATCTACAAGACAAAAGGCTGGGCCAGTTTATCTACAAAACAAAAGACCTTCACCCTCAGGACATGATAGGATTAGCCCTCACTCAAGATCCAAACCAGGACAAAGTCATTAAGACATAATATGAATTGCCTGAAGCCTCTTCATTACATCACCCAGCAAGATTCAACCAAGTCTGGGACTCAAGACAACCTACAAAGTTACCCCTGCATGGCCCCAAGGGAGTATGACAACCAATCAGAATACATTTCTTTCACAGGAACAGGAAGCAAGTTCAAAGCTCAAGAGAGGGTATCTCTCTCTCTCTCTCTCTCCTCTCTCTCTCTCTCTCTCTCTCTCTCTCTCTCTCTCTCTCTCTCTCCCATGTGCTCGATTGCCCAGGACCTCAAACCATGTGGTCGTGTCCACCATTAAACCATCTTTCCAATCAGTCTCCATGTTTCCAGTGTCTTTCTTCCCACTTGGAACTGAACCCAGATGACATTTCTTCCAACACTATAGTACCGTGATGGCGAACCTGTGGCATGCATGCCACAGGTGGCACGCGTAGCCATATCAGTTGGCATGCCAGCTCAGCTCTGGCGTGCATGCGCGTGCTGGCCAGCTGATTTTCAGGCATTCTGGGCCCACCAGAAGTAGGGAAACAGGCTGTTTCCTGCCTCCGGAGAGCCTGAGGGGATGGGGAAGGCCTGTTTTTCTTTCTCACCTGGCTCCAGATCCTCTCTGTGCATCTGGGGAGGGCAAAAACAGCCTTCTCCACTCCCTCAGAGGCCCTCCGGAGGCCTGAAACAGCCCATTTCCCAACTCCCGGTGGGACAGGAAGTGACGTTTTTTGCTTTCCCCAGCCTCAAGAGACTCCTAGAGAGGATTTTTAAGCTTAACAAAATGTTGTATAGTTTCTTTATTAACTTTTCATCCACCCCTAACATTATTTGGTCAAGTTTGCTCTTTGTAGAAGCCATATGTCTTAATATCTTTCTCATGTCTCAATTGTATTTTTTTTTAAAGTCACTTTTGAATGGTGAAAAGATTAAAGGCCACAATTGTTGTTCCCAAAACAGATCCTGGGCTGGCTACAAAGCTAATAAAGACCACCAGATATGAGGAAGGGTATTTTCAGCTTCTTTTATTGGAGTACTCCAGCAAAAGGGTCTCAGCAGCTAAAGGAGACAAGACCCCCGAACAACGCACAATGACAGGTACCCTGTTTCCCCCAAAATAAGGCATCCCCTGATAATAAGCCCAATCAGGCTTTTGAGCGCATGACAATAAGGCCAAGTGCTTATTTTAGGGTTCAAAAAAATAAAAGACAAGGTCTTATTTTCGGGGAAACACGGTAGTCCTCAACTTACAAGAGTTCATTTAGTGACTATTTGGAGTGACCACGGCACTGAAAAAAAAATGGACGGACGACTGTTTTTCCCAGTTACGACTTTTTCGGCATCTCCATGATCATGTGATCAAAATTTGGATGCTTGGCAACTGGTTCATAGAAAAATGGATAAGTTTTTTTAAAAAAGAAGGTGTGTGTGTGTGTGTGTGTGTGTGTAAAAGCTTCTTTTCAGGAATGCTATGCAGAATTTGTCTGGTTTTATTTCACGTTCCGTAACCGCTCTGTGGCTTTGTTTACCGTACATTTAAATTACATTCTTTTTATCCTGAACTGTAAAAAATTCATTCATATACACGTAAACATTTCTGTTTAAAATTTTCCCTTGCCTATTTCTGTTGAGCTGGAACCAATTACCCTATTTTCCGTAGAAATCTCACTCTGAGTAGCGCAAATTCAAAGCAGGCAACCGTTTCATGGGATTCATTAACCATGCTAATCGAGACCTACCTATGTATCGTCTATATATCTGTGTCTGTAGAGCCCATTGAGCACACTTAGGTGTGGTGATTTATTGTTTATTTTAATTTATGTCTCAGTTTATACAGCAGCCCATCTCAAATTCATGACTCTGAGCATCTTGTTGTATACATAGGATAGGATGGGGATGGAATAGAATAGAATAGAATAGAATAGAATATGAATTAGGAATAGAGTGGAATGGAGTGGAGTAGAGTAGAGTAGGGAAAATAATAGGATAGGATAGGATAGGATAGGATAGGATAGGATAGGATAGGATAGGATAGGACAGGACAGGACAGGACAGGACAGGACAGGACAGGACAGGACAGGACAGGAGAGAACAGAATAGAATAAAGAAACAATGGAACAGAATGGAATGGAACAGAACAGAATAAAGAAAAATGGAATGGAATGGAATGGAGACAGAAGAGTAGAATGTAGAGTACAGCAGAACAGAACAGAATGACAAAGTTGCAAGGGACATTGGAGATCTTCTAATCCAACCCCGTTTGAGCAGAAGACTCTATACGATTTCAGACAAATGGTTGTCCAGTCTCTTTTTGAAAGCCTCCAGTCATGGAGCGGGGTGGGTGGGAGGTGGGGTCACGCGCACGTATGCCCACACCCGTAATTCTATGTGCCCCACCCTATACATGCGCGCCCAACGCCCCCACTCCCCCCAGCTCCTGGCACGTGATGGCCCGGTGGGCCTGTTTTTCTCTCTCCCCAGGCTCCAGAGCCTTTCTAGGAGCTTGGGGAGGGCAAAAACAGCCTTCCCCACCCCCCGGAGGCCAGAAACGGCCCAATTGCCAACTTCCGGTGGGACTGGAAGTCCCATTTTTTGTTCTTCCCCAAGCTCCAGAGCCTTTCTAGGAGCCTGGGAGGGTGAAAACAGCTTTCCCCACCCCCTCGGAGGCCCTCTGGAGCCTGGAAACTGCCCATTTGCCAACTTCCAGTCCTACCAGAAGTTGGCAAACGGGTCTTTTCTGGCCTCTGGAGGGCCTCCAAGTGGGGTGGGGAAGGCCATTTTCACCCTCCCCAGGCTTCTAGAAAGGCTCTGGAGCCTGGGGAGAGAGAAAAACGGGCCTTCCCCACTTCCCACCCCGAGGCCCTCTAGAGGCAGGAAATAGCCTATTTCCCTACTTCTGTTGGGCCCAGAAGGCCTGAAAATCAGCTGGCCAGCACGCACATGCACGCCGGAGCTGAGCTCGCATGCCCACCAATATGGCTACGCGTGCCACCTGTAGCACAGGCCATAGGTTCGCCATCACAGGACTAGACATATCCAATTCCTGCAACCATTCTTTATAGGTTTTAGCTTCCAGATAAAAGTACAGTAGCCAGGAAGGACTACATTATAAGAAGTCCCCTGGATGCACGAAAAATGTTCTTCCTCTTTCTCCATCTTCCTTTGATAGATTGGTGCGCAAACTCTTGTTTCTGATTTTTTTTTTTTTTGGTTAGGTTGCAGCATTTTGCTCAAAAGGAGAAATGCTGTAAATTCCCTGCAATTTTAAATTATGTCCCAGATTACCTGAAATTTTTAAAAAAGAATACTAAATTCAGCCCTGTAACAAGGTTTTGATATGTAGGCACCAGACTAAAAAGCAGGAAAGCACGAGTTCAAGTCCCATCTTAGCCATGAAGCTAGCTGGGTGACTTTGCGCTACTCACCAGGAGAGGGTAAGTTCTAGTCCTGTCTTAGCCATGACAAACATGTGAGTGATTTTGGGCCAAACACAAACAGATGGTGAGTTCTAATCCTACCTTAGGCACCGAATCCGGCTGGGTGACTTTGGGCCAATCACTAGGAGATGGTGAATTCCAGTTCTTCTTTAGACATGAAAGCTAGCTGGGTGACTTTGGACCAATCACCAGGAGACAGTGAGTTTTAGTCCCACCTTAAGTATGAAAGCCAACTGCTTGGCTTTGGGCCTTTCACCAAGAGACAATAAATTCTAGTTCTGACTAGGCATGAAGGTCGGCAGTTCAGCGGTTTGAATCCCTAGCGCTGCATAAGGGGGTGAGCTCCCGTTACTTGTCCCAGCTTCTGCCAACCTAGCAGTTCAAAAGCAGGTAAAAAATGCAAGGAGAAAAATAGGGACCACCTTTGGTGGGAAGGGAACAGAGTTCCGTGCACCTTTGGCGTTGAGTCATGTCGGCCACATGACCACGGAGACATCTTCAGACAGCGCTGGCTCTTCGGCTTTGAAACAGAGATGAGCACCGTCCTCTAGAGTCGGGAACGACTAGCACATACGTGCGAGGGGAACCTTTACCTTTAAATATGAAAGCCAACTGCTTGACTTTAGGCCTGACACCAGGAGACAATGAGTTCTAATCCTGACTAGGCATGAAAGCTGGCTAAGTGAGTTTGAGCTAATAACTAGGAGATGGTGAATTCTAGTTCTTCCTTAGGCCTCTATCCCTCAGTGTTCCTTTTGGAGGAAAAAAAAGGGGGGGAAGGGATTGCCAGAAAAAGGACATGCCAGCTACTTATCATTAAAAAAAAATCATTTGAACCTGGAGTGAGGAAGCATGACTCTTTTATGACTTGGGGACTTCAACTCCCAGAATTTCTGAGTCAGTCATGCTGTCCATGTCATAAAAGGCCCATGGTTCCCCACCCCTGCTTTACAAACATACATCCTTACACTAGCACTTACTTCAAAGCAGAAGTCTTAAATCTGTGGCGACACTGAAGGAAGCTGCAGAAGAGAGGGTTGTCCACACACCGGTAAAAACAATATAACTACAGAATCCGCCTAACGTTTTTGACATGCTTCTGAAGACAGGTCTCTCCATGAACATGGCCAACTCCAGATTTGCAACCAGGTGGAAAATGCACAGGTGTGCAAAGCTTCTGATCCATAGGACGCAAATCTGTAGCTTCAAATCTCCATCCAAAGGAGGAACAATAGCTAACAAGTCTTCCTGCAAAATCCAGGCTGGGGCAATCAGCAGGAACAGGTGTCTTGCACCTGTGGCTCCATCCTGGTCTCCAGAAGGAGGGCAGGGCCATGAGTTAACCCTCTGGTGTCCAGGAATGAAACACAAATCCTCAGTTCTTTTTTCTTCTAGAGACGGCTTCTTCAAACTTGGCAACTTTAAGCCTTTAAAAGATCTTTTTTCAAAAGACAACTGGACTTCATTTTTCCTCGTTTTGCTTCTCGTGCAAGAAGCTTCTTCAGTTCTGATGGAATGGTGGAGGATGGAAGGATTTCTATTCCTGGTTCATATAGAACAGAATACAATAACAGAGTCGGAAGGGACCTTGGAGGTCTTCTAGTCCAACCCATTGCTTTGGCAGGAAACCTTACACCAGTTCAGGCAAATGGTTATCCAATCTCTTCTTAAAAACTTCCAGTGTTGGAGCATTCACAACTTCTGGAGGCAATTGTTCCACTGATTCATTGTTCTCCCTGTCAGGAAATTTCTCCTTAGTTCTAAGTTGCTTCTCTCCTTGATTAGTTTCCACCCATTGCTTCCTCCTGCCCTCAGGTGCTTTGGAGAATAGCTTGGCTCCCTCTTCTTTGGGGCAGCCCCTGAGATAATAGAGTTGAAAGGAACCTCAGAGGTCTTCTAGTCCAGCCTCCTGTTTGAGCATTTCAGACAAGAGGTTATCCAGTCTCTTCTTAAAAACTTCCAGTGTTGGAGCATTCACAACTTCTGGAGGCAAGTTGTCCCAATGATTCATTGTTCTAACTGTCAGGAAATTTCTCCTTAGGTTCTAAGTTGCTTCTCTCCTTGATTAGTTTCCACCCATTGCTTCTTCTCCTGCCTTCAGGTGCTTTGGAGAATAGCTTGACTCCCTCTTTTTTGGTGCAGCCCCTGAGATATTGGAAGACTTCTATCATGTCTCTATCATATCTCCCCTAGTCCTTCTTTTCATTAAACTAGACATACCCAATTCCTGCAACTGTTCTTCGTATGTTTTAGCCTCCAGTCCCCTAATCATCTTTGTTGCTCTTCTCTGCACTCCCTGCACTCAGATGACTGCAAGGGATTATAAATCCTTCCATCCTCCACTATTCCATCAGCAGTGAAGATGCTTCTTGGATGAGAAGCGAAACATCTTCAAGGAAAAACGAAATCCAGTTGCCTTTTGAAAAAGCACTTTTGGGACAGCTGTGACCTGGATGATCTCCATAGGCTTTAAGATCAAATACAAATGTGATGGTTTTTTTTTTCCCTCTTAACATACATCAATATTTCTCAACCTTGACCACTTGAAGATGTGTGGACTTTCTGGAACACCCAGAATTCCTTAGCCGGCTTGGTTTCAGTCCCATCCTCATTCAAGCCTGCTGGCTGGGGAATTCTGGGAGTTGAAGTCTGCAAGTTTTAAAGTTGCCAAGTTTGGAGACGCCTAGTCTAGAGAAACCAAGAACCTAGAACTGTTTATATTCCTTGCACACAGCTGGTCATTTGTATTCTTTTAGAGAGTCGGTGACGCTGAGGACACAGACAAACCTCAAAGTGGCCTCAATGATTGTCTAAAAGAACACAAATGATCAGCATTCTGCAAGGAATATAAATCCTTCCATTCCCCACCATCCAGTTAGAGCTGAAGAAGTTTCTTGGATGAGACGTGAAACATCTTGAAAGAAAAAACACAGAAGTCCAGTTGCCTCCTGAAAAAGCACCTTTGGGACAACCATGACCTGGATGACCGAGAATCTCTACAGATGTTGAGCTATACAATTTGAGATGAACACCCTTTGAATGGTATGAGACTAGGAACGGATTTCCAGAGGAAAAAATTGCGGACTACAGAAACCATTTGCACCACTCAGGTGACCCTGAGGACACAGATACACCTCCAAGTGGCCTCAACGACCTTCTAAAAGGATGCAAAGGACCAGCTCTCTGCAAGGAATATAAATCGTTTCATCCCCCACCATCCAGTCAGAGCTGAAGAAGCTTCTTGGAGGAAAAGCAAAACATCTTCAAAGAAAAACAAGAAAGTCCTTTGAAAAAGCACCCTTGGGACATTCTGATGTTCAAAGTCTGCATTTCTTATATGGCCATGTAAGAATAGCATGCTTTCTACCATCCCAGGACAGAGAATTTCAACACCGTTCAGAAGCCAGTAGTGTTGAATCCCTAACAATCATTAAGCCAGCCTTGTTGGCTAATTTAAACTGAGCCAAGCTTAGTCTAAACTAGGTTTCCCAGTAAACCTGGAAATAACCCACACACTTTTATTTAGTTTTGCTTTTGCGCAAATAAATAATTGTGGTCTGTTTTGATGTGAAAGAAGGTTCCACGAGAAAGTGAATGATTTCAGGATGGTTTTGAGAAGACAATTGGTCAAAACTCAAATGGAAAACTATACTCAATATTTTGGTACTAAATCATGTACTGTACGGCTCTCTGCTGTCCAGAAGATGAGAGAAGACAATGCCACCAGTCTCAAACCTGGAGCAGCTGATACCATCTAATGAGGTGCTGATGGAGGCACACCAGCGAAAAGATAAACTACAGAGTGTGAATGTTCCTGTAATGGTTGCTATATATTTCCTCTCTTGGTGATGGCCCTCATGACAGCTGAGAATAATGAAGGTCTGCTAGGCTTCCAGACTAGGTCTATAATTCAAAGGGGATGGGTGGCAAACTGTTCCTGTCCTTGGGGAAACAGACCCCCCCTCCCCCACTCGTAAGGTCTGTTGGGAGCAAAGAGGAGCGATGGGGACCCAAGGATTAGAACAAAACCCTTTCTCCAGAAGGAGGAGATCGAATGAGACGGAGACTGAGATGTTGGAAGAAGAAGAAGAAGAAGAAGAAGAAGAAGAAGAAGAAGAAGAAGAGGAGGAGGAGGAGGAGGAGGAGGAGGAGGAGGAGGAGGAGGAGGAGGAGGAAGAGGAAGAGGAAGAGGAAGAGGAAGAGGAAGAGGAAGATGATTCTGGGGCTCTTGGTGCTCTCTGAGCTTGGTCATTTTCTTACAGAAGTTTTATGACCCAACTAGGTAACATCATCAGTGCTAGAAGCGAGTGGGATTTGCTGAGAGGATGCAGAGGAGGAAAGAGGAAGAAGAGGAGGAGGGGGAGGAGGAGGAGGAGGAGGAGGAGGAGGAGGAGGAAGAAGAAGAAGAAGAGGAGGAGGAGGAGGAGGGGAAGAGGAAGAGGAAGGTGATTCTGGGGCCCTTGGTGCTTTCTGAACTCGGTGGTTTTCTTGCAGATGTTTCATGACCCAAACAGGTTACATCATCAATGCTAGAGAAGAGTAGGGTTTTGCTGTGGCCTGCCAGTGGCCAGCAGAGCTGGCAGCAGATTTGAACAGTGAGGAGGTTGGGGAGGAACATGGGCCAGTCCTGGAGTCTGGGGAAGACTCGGACGAGGGCTTTGAGTTGGAGGCAGAGAGCGGGCCAAAGCCATCTGGTTGTTCTTTGCTGCCTCCGGAGTCTCTGGAGTCTGACATCAGTGAGGCAGAAGAACAGCGGGAGCCTGTTCCCAGTGTGCGCATGCGCAGAGCTGCCAGGGGACAGGAACAATTAAGAAAACAGGGTTGACTTGGGAGTAAGGCTTGGAGATGATTGCCCCCTTCCATAAAGACATAAAAGAGAAGCGAACAGGATGTGAGCTTTTGCAGGAAGCAATTAGTTCATCCAGTCAGTAAAAGCTTTGGAAAAGTTCTGTTTGACTCTGTGCTAAATTTGGCCTTGCCCTCCATGTGACAATTCTCGGGCAGCATTCCAAGGGAGATGAGGCCGAACCGGTCTGAACCAGGAGCATTTCAACTCTGGTTTGAGGGGAGGGGGGTGGGAGAGAATGGATTCCTAAGTGCTGTGACAATCTTGAAAAATGGTAAAGCTGGAGGCATGGATGCAAAAGGGGAAGTCATGTTAAAATAAGGGTGGGCTTCGTTTATAGAGTGGCTGGGCCACCTGCTTCATGTAGGTGTGAAGGTTGCCTTTGTGTCTGAAGGAAAGTTAACTGAATAACAGAATTGGAAGGGACCTTGGAGGTCTTCTAGTCCAACCCCCTGCTCAAGCAGGAGACCCTACACCATTTCAGACACATGGTTGTCCAATTTCTTCTTGAAAAACTCCAGTGATGGAGCAACCACAACTTCTAGGGGCAAGTCGTTCCACTGTTTAATTTCAAGAATAACAGAATCGGAAGGGACCTTGGAGGTCTTCTAGTCCTCATGGTGTGGGGGTCTCGAACCTGGGTTGTCAGCTCTCCAGCTGAGCCATCGCGCCCCTTGAATCTTCCTACTTTTGAGTAAATCATAATCTCGCTGCCATTGTCACACATAAAAACATAGTTAGATGACTTTTTCCAAGTTGCTTGTTCATTGTCCTCCCAAAAAGAAATCTCTGCTCTCAATCGTACTTTGACCTTTAAAATCTTCTGAATTAATGCGTATATTTGTATGCAAAATGTTCTGGCTTTTTTTTTTCCTTTTCTTTTACATGTCCACCCGGCGCGATAAATGTCCCTTCATCTTGTTCAGATTTCCAGCAAAGATTCGAAATGCCTTTATAGATTCTACACAATTTCTCTGGTGACAAACCCCGACGATGCATCATTTTATTTAAATAAATAATCATTCTTTTTAAGACTAGAACATAATATCAATTTCATCCTGCCCGTCGCCTATGTTGGATGACATTTTGCTTGATCTCGGAAAACATCTTTGTCCGGAAAGCAAAGCCCTGCGTGTCTCTTGAACTGAAGCAAACTATAGATCCGTGATGGTGAACCTATGACACGCGTGTCACAGGTGCGACACAGAGCCCTCTCTGCGGGTACATGAGCCATTACCCCAATTTAGGCGTCAGCACTTCAACTTGCATTTACTCTAGTGCTGACATAAGAAGGAGAAGCAAAGGCATCTGGAAAGGGACGTTTTCACCTACTTATTTTCCCTGGAGATAATATCCCCTAGGAGATGAGATGGGAGGAGGAAAATTCCTTTGAGCTAGAGTAG